CACAGCAAGGCGACCCGGGGGCTCTGGCTGGCCGCGAGCCTATCTGTGACCCGCCCCCTGACCCCCTGCTGCTTTGGCCCTTACAGATGCCCTGATGAAGAAGGCCTTCAGCTCATCGACCTTCAACTCCAATGCCTTCCTCACCAGGCTCCTGGTCCACATGGGTCTACTCAAGGTGAGGCCGGGGGACAGCAGGCCCTAGGCAGGGCAGGAAGGGTGTGACCAAGGGCTGCTCTGCTCACCCACCAACCCATCCCTGGCCGCACCGTCTGTGCCCCTGAGGTCATTATGATAGGGTCCCAGCTGGACCTCAGTGTAGGGTGCTGTCAGCAGACCTGAGAGGTGGAGACCAAGGGCCCCCAAGTGACCTCGAAGCTCACTCCTCCTTTGCTGTGTCCCCTTGCAGAGTGAAGACAAGATCAAGGCCATCGCCAACCTCTACGGCCCCCTGATGGCTCTGAACCACATGGTGCAGCAGGACTACTTCCCCAAGGCCCTCGCACCCCTGCTGCTGGCCTTCGTGACCAAGTGAGTGTGACCCTGCATCCTTGTGCTGCCTGCCTTCTTGCCCCGGTGGCTAAGGTTTCCTGGGGCTGGTCAGAGGTACCTGCTCCCAGGCGTCCTAGCCTGGCTTCCAGGCGCCCAGTGTCCGAGTTTGGGTCTCTCCACCTGTGAGGCCTCCTCTTTGTCCAGATGAGGATGGTGGGACTCAGGGACTGTGTCTGTCCCTGTGAGAGAGGACGTGGGGAGAACCCCCCTTCCAGATGAGGAAACTAGCACTCGGGTGGGCTAAGGACTCTTCCACAGCCATGCTAGCCAGAGGCCAGACTTGGGTCCAGTCCCGGGTCTGCTAGCCACGGTCCCGCAGGCAATAGTGGCTCTGGGGGCAGTCTCTGTGCCACTCCCACAGCAGCCCTGCTGAGGGGCCTGGTTAGACCAGGTTCTACGGCCACTCTCCCCCAGGGACACACTTTGCCACAGAAGTCCTGAGGTGTAAGTAAGCCCTGGCCTCACCCCCGGGTCCCAGGCATTGGTGGACTTGGCTGCTATCAGGTAGTGAAGAGCCGGGGCCCTGCCAGGCAGGGGCCCAGAGGCTCATGTCTTGCCTCTGAGGTGCTGGCTTGCTCCTGCCCCACTTTGGCCTCTGCCAGGCCATAGTTTCCCCATTTCCCCACAGAGGTTGGGCAAGATTATCTCCCAGGCTTTGACCCACCAACAGCCACAATTCCACCAAATCCAGCACCTTGTGGAGAGCAGGGCAGCCCGAGGAGCGAGTCTGTCCCATGCATCATAGGACACAGCATAGGCAGGCCAGCCCGGACCCTGGCCGGCCAGCTGCTGCGAAGCGCCATGCAGGGAGGAGTGTGAGACACACCTGCTATTGCCCTGGGCCACCCTGTCCACGCCAGCCTCCAGCAGTTCCTTTTGCACACACTGCCCCTTAGTCCTCACCCCCTCGCCACTCTCGGCCTCCACACCCCCACTGGACCACCCCTGTGCTGCTCCTGGACTAGCCGCAGTGAAAAGCAGATCTGATGCTGGCTCCTGCAAGGGTCCAGGTTGAGGCCACAGCCGGTGGTGGAATTCAGGGCTGGCTGCAGCCTCACCCTCCACCCAACCCCAGCATGGGCACTCTCCCTGGCCTATTCCTGTAGTAGGTGATGTTGCCTTGGCCTGCAAGCTTTGCCCATGGTGTCTGGAGATTCCAGTCCCTGCCTGTCACCCCTGACCAAGCCCAGCCACCTGCTTCCTTCCCAGCCTTGGGTCGGAATTGTTCTCTCTGCATCACCCACTGCCTTGCCTTTGGCCTAGGTGTGGGCCTGAGAGGAGACTCTGGCCTGGCGCTCGGTGCAGACTGCCTTTTCCCAGCTGATTGCCCTCTACCAGTAGGCCTCAGTCTGCCCCAGGTCCCCTCCCTCACCCCCAGCCTGGTCTGGATGCAGGTTGGTGTCCGCACATTGCAGGTCAGGCATGTCCCTGGTGCTGGTCCTGACCGCACCTACCCAAGCCCAGATCTTGCCTCAGTTTCTTCCTTTGCAATGAAACTAGTGGGTGACCCAAGGAATTCTGCCTTACGTGGTCACTGAGGGCTCCCTGGCCCATGCCTGCTGGAGGGGCCTGTGGAAAGCAGAGGCCCAGGGTTTCCGACTGGGTGGCCTGTTCTCGGGCCGGCTCAGGCACGGGGCTTTGGATGGTTGTTCAGCCTCCGAGCCTCATGCACAGCTCACCCTGCCCCCAGGCCCAGAAGGCGGCAATGTCTCCCTTAGAGTCTATGTGACAATGACAGCAGAAACGCCTGCTGCAGCCTGGGTGCTCGGGACCTCCAGGTGCCCAACCAAAACCAACGTGCTGACCCTTCCCTCTCCTTAGGCCCAACGGCGCCCTGGAGTCCTCCGGCCGCCCGGCCCCCCCCCGCCCCCCCCCGCCACAGTCTGCTGCAGACGCTGTACAAGGTCTAGACGCGAAGCCGGCTTATCCTGTCCCTCGGCCTAGACCAGCCACTTGGGGAGGGACTCGGATGAACTGAGTGGCAGCCATGCCTTCCGTTGGACAGACGCTGGCCAGAGCAGGGAGGATGTGCGTCTGTGTCACGTCTGTCCTAGTGTGTGTGCTTCCTGTCGGGATCTGGGTTTTCAGTGTGTCCCTGCTGGACTGGCCCTGGGCCGCAGTTGGGGGTCAGCCCAGGGCAGGCGGCTGTGAGCTGCTCTGTCATTAAACTCCCGCCACCTGAGGGCACGCTGCTGATCTGTGCCTCAGGTTCCAGGCCCTGGTGGCTGTCCCCACCCGCCTTGCCTTCCTACCCCCACCTACCCGGGCTGCACAGAAGCCTGGGGAGTTGCTGTGCGTGTGTGTCCCCTCCCTCTGTGCTACGGGGCTCTCCCTGCCCTGCTGTGGCTGTGCGCGGAGCTGCCTCTGCTCACTGTGCCCAAACCCTGGGCCTGTAGCGTGAAGAGCAGAGACTGCTGGGTGGCACCAGGGGCTGGCAGCAGTGGGTGGGAAGAGGAGCCAGTGGGCAGATGCCAGTTTGTCCAATGCTGGAGGTGCAGGGACTGCACTGGCTCAAGGACCTGGGGGCCCTCCCCTGGCTGCTGGGGAGGAACCTGTCCCAGCCGAGTCAGGGGTGTGATATAGGGCCTCCTGATGCCTGAGCTGGGCAGTGGCCCTGGGGACTGGGCTGGGCAGGAGAGGCCCTGTGGCCGCCCATGCTTTCTCCTTTGTGTCTTGTGTGTGTCTGGGCTGTGCCCGGGGGCTTCACCAATAAAGTCATGTGTGGCCGTGGCAGGGGGGAGACTGCGTCCGCCTCAAGCAGGACCGTGGAGTCCCAGCTCGGCACCGCACACAGCCACGCCTTGGGCTGAGGGGCAAGCAGTCCCGCAGGAGGGCCCGTGCCAATCACCTGGGAGGCCCCTCCCCCACGGGGGATGTCTCCTCTGCTCTGGGTGGGCTGGCTGGGTGGGTGGTGCCCAGGAAGGGCAGTAACTCTTGGGGGTGGGCTGGAGGAAGAGATTTCAGCAGGGGCCCAGCTGACCTGCCTGCTCTCACCCGCTCCCCCACTTCCAGCCAGCTCCTCGGCTCCTGCGTTGCCCCTTCCAGACTCAGCTGGGCCAGATACAGGCCTGCTGGCAGGAGAAGGCGTCTGGTGCCAAGGCCTGTGGTGTCAAGGACCCCTCCTCAGGGTTCTTCACTACGTTGCCTCACGTGGTGTGAGGACCTCAGACTACTGGCTTCCCGCCCCACACAGCATGCACACTTGGGGATCCTGTGTCCTCCGTTTCCAGGGGCAGAATTTCCTTACAGGCCACTTAGGTGACATCTGTCTTGGCCACAGGAGATGCTTAAGCCTTGCCCTCTCCGTTCGATGTGCTTTGGTGGGAGGCCGGTGTAGGTCTGACCAACTCCAACCACCCTTCCAGGCCCTGTCTGAGCCCCAGGCCGCAGGCACTGGCTTTGGGGAGCTCCTAGGCCAGGCAGACCAACAGTTGGGGACAGCAGGCAGTGAGGTGAGGAAAACCACTCGGTACCTATGACAGATGGAGACACTGGGCCGGAGAGGGGCCTGCCCTCGGTCTCTGGCCTGGGTGTGCCCCATCAGGCCCCACAGGCTGGCCTTTTCCCTTCCTAGGGAGTATATGTATAAGCTTCAGCCCAGGCTGAGAACCGAAGGTCTCCTGCCCACGACAGGCTGGTAGGCCTGGTTCTTGGACCCTTGAGGAGAATCCTCTTGGTCCCATGAGTCCCATGGAGCTCCTGACCAGCCCAGGTGGAAGGAAGGGCCTGATGGGGCACATGGCCTTTGCAGTTTCCCCCAGACTCAAATGCTTACAGCTTGCTAGGGCTGAGTGCTCCCGCAGAACCACAGCCAACCTCAGGCCACACAGATTCAGGTCCCTGAAGACCACAATTCTGGGTCAGAAGGATCTCAGAGGCCCGAGCCTGGACAGCCCGGGACCCCTACAGATGAAAAGCCTGCTCGTCACAAGACTGACTCCACCAAAGGATCTTGAACCCACAGACTTGAGAGGCTATGAAAGCAGTTCCATTATTTTATGAAATGGGGCATGGGGGAGAGAGATGGGGACATTTGACAAGGTCTCTGTGTCAGGATTCTCCTGCACCAACCTCCCAGGAAGCTAGGATTACAGGCATGCACAACCTGCCCGGCATGTTCAGATTGGCCCAGGCGCTGGACAGCTGTCTCCCATGTGGCTTCCAGCCTTCTTAAACAGTGGTGCTACCTATACCACAGTGGCGGGGCCAGCGATTCTATTGCTAAGCTTAGACTAGAAACCCCAAGGGAGCGTGGTCAAGGATGCTTCTAGCAGTACTGTCCATGATAGCAAAAACTTTGTAGAAGCAACTTACAAGACTGACACTGGGAAAATGCACAAAATGTACAGCCACATGATGAAGCATAGTGCAACAGCACAAATGCATAAACTGCAGCCTTCACATGCAGGCGGATCCATGGTGATGCTGAGTGAGGAACGTTTCTGTGTACCAGTGGTTCAAGTGAGAGTTGGCCTTGTAGCATGGCCGATCTCACGTGGCTGACTGTGGTTTGAATTCCCAGCCCCAGCAATTGAAAAGCAGACCAGACATGTGTGTGCATGCCCAAATAAAGTTAAATAATTTTTTAAAAATGTTTTTAAAGAGTATGCACATGACAATGCCAGTGCTTTAAAAGGTATGATGGGGCCAGCAGGTGGCATGGTTGAAGTGCTGAGCTCCCACATGGTCATTTGCAATTAAGAGTCCCAGACCTGGTGGCTTGTTTTCTCACTTTCCCTTTCTCTCTCTCTCTCGTGAATTAATAAAATAATTCTTTTAAAAGAATAAAAGATGACATATAACACAAGAATCCAACACAAACACAGTTCATCCTTGGGATGCAAGATAGTTCAACCTAACATAGCATAATGGCTCTATCCCTGAACTCCCATGTAGTTGACTGTGGTTGGAGTCCTGGACCTGGTGGCCTAAACTCATGCTGGGCGCATGTGTATGCGTGCCCAAGATCCCAAGAGGAAAATGGAGAAGGAATTGCGGCGTGGCCATCCCCCGGGGGGGTGATTTCTCGCTTTCTGTCTCTGGCGAGCACACGCTCCCTATAGCAAAAACCTCTCAAAAAAAAAAATAATAGAACAATGTTAGGGCCAATAGGTGGCATGATAATTAAGGTGCTGGACTCCCACATGGCTGACTGTGGTTCAAGTCCTGGACAAGGCAGCTTGCTTTCTGTCTCTGGTGAGTGCATGAGCCCTATATAAATTAAAAGGATAATGATGATAAAATTAATTTTAAAAAGTCAATGTAATATACCACATTAACAGAAAATCATGATTTTCTCAATAGATACAGAAGTCCTTTCAAGATAAAACTCAGCCACAAAAAGGAATTAAATTCTTTTAATATCCTAGAACATAGATGAATTTTGAAAACCTTAGGTTAAACTACAATAGATACAAAAGACCAAATACGGGGCTGGCAGGTGGCATGGTTAAGGGCATTGGACTCCCACATAGCCAACCGTGGTTTGAGTCCTGAACCTGACGGCTTGGGGTTGGCAGGTAGTGTGGTGATTAAGGGCATTAGACTCCCACATGGCTGACTGCAGTTTGAGTCCCTGACCTGGCGACTTGCTTTCTCACTTTCTTTTTCTCTCTCTCTGTCCCTCTCTGATCAAATTAAAACAAATAAATAAAGTTAAATAAAATAATTCTTTAAAAATTTTTTTAAAAAAATAAATGAAGATAACTTTCTTTTGCTGAGGTTTTTGCTATAGGTGCGTGCGCTTGCCAGAAAGACAGAGAGAGAGACAAAGAGACAGCAAGAAATCACCCCCAGGGGGGATGGCCACGCCGCAATCCCTTCTCCTCCATTCTCCTCTCGGGATCTTGGGCACGCACGCACACGCACCCGGTGTGAGTTTTAAGCCACCGGGTCCAGGACGTGAACCGCGGTCGACTACGTGGGAGTCAAGCGACATAGCCACTACGCTAACTACTGGTTCCCATAGTTATTTTATCTTGAGGGACCAGCAGTTAGTGTACTGGCTATGGCAATGCATGGCTATGTCACTGGACTCCCACGTAGTCGACCGCGGTTCACGTCCTGGACCCGGTGGCTTAAAACTCACACCGGGTGCGTGTGCGTGCGTGCCCAAGATCCTGAGAGGAGAATGGAGAAGAAGGGTTTGTAGCGTGACCATCCCCCCGGGGGGTGATTTCTCGCTTTCTGTCTCTATGTCTCCCTCTGTCTGTCTGGTGAGCACACGCGCCCTATAGTGAAAACCTCTCCAAAAAAAAGATAAAATAACTTTTTTTTTTAAAAAAAGGCCAGGGTCGGCAGGTTGCGTGGCAGTTAAGGGTGCTGGACTCCCACATGGCCGACCACGGTTCAAGTCCTGGACCTGGTGACTTACTTCACTTTCTCTCTCTGTGTCCCTCTCTGGTCAACTTCAAAGTAAGAAAATAAATACAGTTAAAGTAATTCTTTAAAAAAACACGGCCGCATGCTTGTGGTCCCACTCGGGTGAGGTCCGTGTTATAGGGCGGGCAGGTTCATGGAGGCGGCAGAGTCAAGCTACTGGGTGGGGGGGAGGTGCAGGAGGGAGTGGCCGGGTAATGGGTACAGAGTTTCCATTTGGGCTAAAGAAAGTTCTGGAATTGGACAGGAGTGATGTCTGTGGTATTGTGAAAGTACCTAATGTTTAACCATACACGTAAATATAGTTAAAATACAAATTTTATGTGTATTTTGCTACAATAAAAACTAAATGTAAAAGCAAAATTAAAGAACTAGTGTAGATGAACATCTTTAAGACCTCAGGAGTGGTGGTTAAGGGCACTGGACTCCCACGTGGCCGACCATGGTTTGAGTCCTGGACCTGATGGCTTGCTTTCTCACGTTCCCTCTCTCGCTCTCTCTTGGTCTGTCCCTCCCTGGTCAAATTAAGATAAGATTTAAAATAATTATTTTTTAATCTTTTTTTTTAATTCCAGTGATTTTTTAAAAATAATTATTTGTTTTTTATTATTTTTTCACAAGTTTTGCCAGAGAAAGAGAGAGGGGAGGAAAGTGAGAGAGCAAGCCACCAGGTCCAGGACTTGAACCGTGTTCGGCCATGTGGGAATTCCAGCATCCTAACCCCCATGCTACCTGCTGGCCCCAAGATTTAAAATAATTCTTAAACAAAAAAAGAACAGGTTTCCATTGATCCTAAGATATCACTGGCCCCTCCCAAGAGGGAGAACTCTGTGATGGCTGGGGCCACGCGGGAGCCCCGAGGGCAGTTTCTGGTCCAACTTACACAGGCCAGGTGTGGTGGCATGCACCTGTGGCCCTAGCTGCCTGGGAGGCTGAGGCAGGGTTGCAGTAAGACCCTGTGGAAACATGTGTCTGGGGGCCAGCTGGTCCAGCATAAAGCAGTGCACCGTGAGGCTTATCAACCTGGGCCCTTAGTGGACTGGTGTCCAGAGGTCTCCCTGAGTGCTCTAGACATATGCACACCCACGATCTGTGTGTTCTTCTCTTTCTGTCTGACTCCTGGGAGAAACTAATTTTAAAAATTAATAATACTGGTCTTGGGGGACCAGTGGTTAAGGTGCTAAATCCCGTATGGCTGGCTGGGATTTGAGCCTGGGGCCCAGGTCCGGTGGCTTGAGAAACACACTGTGTTCGCGTGTGTGCGTGCTTTCTCACTTTCCCTCTCTCTCTCTCTCTCGGTCTGTCTTTGGCAAGTGCACACGCTGTTTAGCAGAAAACCTTTTAAAAGACGAAATAAAAAAAGTGCAAATTGTAATTCCATGGATGTGGGATTTGCCGAGGGAAACAAAGCAGGAGCAGCAGTCTGCATGGTGTGACACTTTTTCCATTTAAAGAAAAAGCTAGCCAAGCAATAATAATGCAACTTCATCAGAAACGCGAACCTGAGAAGTTTTAGAATACATACCCGTTTACCATGGCTGGGTTATGATTTCACCGATGTCCATGTCCTGGGAAGATAGGTGCTTGGATATTCATCATTGTCCAGCAAAAAACGGGAGGCAACTGAAATGCCCAAGATAAATGAATAAGCAACAATGCAATCCTATAGAACACCCAAAAGGAATGACTCAGACAGATGGACAACTCCCAAAAATCTGACCTTGAGAGAAAAAAAAACTTGCAGGAATACTCTATGTACAGTATCAACGTATGTACATGTATATGTACGAACAGGAAAGAGTTAACTGTCCTGAGCACCTACTATGTGCCAGGGGCCTTCCTAACCCTCACTGCAACCCTATAACCTGTTACAGACATCATGTTTTTCAGACTGAGAACAAGCTTGGCGAGACAAGGAGCAGCCCTGCCCAGGGGCCCACAGCGCAGGGAGGAGGCCACAGCCGCTGACCCACAGGCAGCCCCTCCCTGTCACGCCAGCCCCAGGACTCAGACCTGGGCAGCATTCCTAAGGCCAGCACGGGCAGGAGGCCCTGTAATTCCAGCCACTGTCCCCACTCCCTAGCCGCCCCCCTTCGCCTCAGCCCCGGGAAGCCCCCGCTCGCTGGGCTGCCACAATGCCTCCCATTCAGCCCTGTCCAGGCTGCCAGGCAGGCGGGCCCGAAGGGGGGTTCCTGCCGGCATCCAGGCAGGGTCCATCGCTGGCCTTCCCCTGTGCTGCACCTCCAGACCGGACTGGCAGCCCGAGGCAGCATGGAGAGGTGAGTCTCTGGGTCCTGAGCTGCCAGAGGAGCTTAGAGCATTGGAGTGGTTGCAGACAGGCCCTTGCCCCACCAGGGGCCTGGTGGGCAGGGGTTCTGGGTCCTTCCTGGGCCTGAGACTTTCCAAGGGTCTCAGGAACGTGGCTGCTCTCTCTGAGCCCTGGATGCTGTCTCCTCAGGGATCTGTCCTATGGGTCCCCTCCCCAGCCTGCCACAAGCCACAGCCATCACACAGGCTCTGGAGAAGGCTGCCAGCTCCAAGGCAGGGCTGGTCCCTAGGGCCAGGAGAGTCACCGATGGTGACAAGCAGTGAGCAGAGAATGTGCAGGCACAGCCCCGGGATCATGAAGGCTGCCCCAGGGCCATGGGTGACAGGCTGAGAGCAGAAGCTGGGTGAGTTAGGTGGCAGCAGCGAGGAGGGAGGCCAGAGTCTGCACAGTGTGTGGGGACCACAGAGCTGTCCCGGGTGTGTCGTGACGGGGGCACCGAGGGCGACGCTGAAGCAGCCGAGCAGACTCTGGTTGAGGAACCAGGAGTCAGGACTTCCCACCAATGGCAGTGGTAGACGCTGGAGGGTTTTCAGCTGGGGGCCAGGGTCCCATCTGTGGTTTGGGAAGTTCCCTTTGGTTGCCAGATAATAAAGGAGCATAGAGAAGGCCAGGAGAGCCATGGAGGCAGCAGCTGCCCTCGGAAGTAATGGGTGGCCCGGCAGGTGGCGAGGTGGTAATGATGAAGGGACCCTGACAGGGCGGGATGACGAGTGGATGAGAGGATAGGCAGACGGAGGGTGGGTAAACGGACGCACGGTGGGAGGACATGGCAGTGTGGCTCTGACCCGCCTCATGGACTCACTGAAGGGGCTCAGGCCCCACAACCCCTGGGCTCCCAGCCTTGCTCACAACTTGGGCTGGGCCTGGGTCCTTCCGTGCTGCTGCCAAGCTGTCATCTCCAGGTAGGAGCCATTATGCTTCCTGCCTGTGACAGGCGTTTCTCCACCTCCCCCTGGACTGGGGCCTTACCACAGCCTGGGTGTCTGTGCATGCGCTGAACCCCAGAGCCAGTCTCACGCTCAGCAAGTCGCCACTGAGCCTCAGGAACCAGCGAAGGGACTCAGAGCCTCAGTTTCCTCCAGAGCAAAACAGGATGAATAATAGAACCCCCACTGCATGGGGCGGGGTGGCGAGGCTTAGAGAGGGGAAGGGCTCTCGGGTTCTGGGGGGCACAGCTGGCAGGTTCAGAGAGAGACAGGGTGAGGCCCCTGCCCCTGTGGACAACCAGCCCTCCCTCCTGCTCCCAGGCGCCAGGACTCCACCCGGGTCTCCTTGGTGCTTCTGCTGCTGCTGCTGCTAGGCCCAGCGTGGCACGCGGCTGCCCAGCGCTGCCCACAGACCTGCCTCTGTGACAACTCCCGGCGGCACGTTGCCTGCCGACACCAGAACCTCACTGAGGTGCCCAGTGCTATCCCTGAGGTGAGGAGGGCGGGAGCGTGGGCACGGGTGGAACTGGGGCAGGAGGGGGCTGGGCACTAGTGGGTCTGGCACTGGCTGGTTGGAGCCGTGGCAAGTTACTTCTTCCCACCTATGAAATGGGAATAATTACCAGGAACGGAGATAACCTATTTAAAACCCTTACTGTGTGATGGGACTAAGGGACCTGTGGCTGCGCAGCTCTGTGTAGTCTGTAGGGCTCTGCAGACCCACTGCGCCAGCCTGTGGCCTGGTGGTTATGCCAGCTGATCTCACATGGCTGACCATGCAGTTCAAGTCCTAGATCTGTCCGCATCTCAAATGTGCTGGGTGCCTGTTGCCCCAAATCCTGAAAAGGAGGGAGAGATGGGGCAGAAGGTATTGCAACTTGACCATGCCCCATGGGGAATGCTTTTGTGCTAACACCCGTCTGTCTCCTCAAGCACATATGCTCTCTGGCAAATTAAAATAATAATAATAATAATAATAATAATAACAACAAAAGTCATGGACCAATTGAATTCGTTAGACTCTGAGGCAGAGATAAAACTCAGTCTAGGCCCTACCACGCTGAGCTGGGCGGGGAGGTGGGGGGAGGAGTGAGCAGGCAGTAGCACTGTGTTGTGAAAGTGCCACAGTGGAGGACTCCGTTGGGCTGGGGAGGAAGGCTTCCTGGAGGAGGTATCCGCGAACAGGACAAGGTGAGATGAAGGCTAGTAGGAAGAGAAGGGTGTTTCAGGTGAGGGAGCCAGGGTGCAAAGGCGCCGTGTGCGCTCAGCCTCGGTCTTCCCCTCTGTCCCCAGCTGACCCAGCGGCTGGACCTCCAGGGCAATGTGCTGAAGGTGATCCCTCCAGCTGCCTTCCAGGACCTGCCTTATCTCACCCACCTGGACCTGCGGCACTGCCAGGTGGAGCTGGTGGCTGAGGGCGCCTTCCGCGGCCTGGGCCGCCTGCTCTCGCTCAACCTCGCCTCCAACCACCTGAGTTCGCTGCCCCAGGAGGCGCTGGACGGGCTGGGCTCGCTGCGGCGGCTGGAGCTGGAGGGGAACAGGCTGGAGGAGCTGCGGCCGGGCACGTTCGGGGCGCTGGGCGCGCTGGCCACGCTGAACTTGGCCCACAACGCCCTGGTCTACCTGCCCGCCATGGCCTTTCAGGGACTGCAGCGCACACGCTGGCTCCAGCTGTCGCACAATGCGCTCAGCGTGCTGGCCCCCGAGGCCCTGGTCGGCCTGCCTGCCCTGCGCAGGCTCAGCTTGCACCACAACGAGCTCCAGGCCCTGCCGGGACCGGCCTTGTCCCAGGCCCGAGGCCTGGCCCGCCTGGAGCTGGGCCACAACCCACTCACATACACGGGCGAGGAGGACGGGCTGGTGCTGCCTGGCTTGCGGGAGCTGTCGCTGGACCATGGGGCCCTGCAGGCTCTGGGTCCCAGGGCCTTCGCCCACTGCCCGCGCCTGCACACCCTCGACCTCCGCGGGAACCAGCTCGACACTCTGCTCCCGCCGCAGGGCCCCGGGCAGCCGCGCCCGCCGCG